TGTGTGTGTGTGTGTGTGTGTGTGTGTGTGTGTGTCTTCAACTGTGACACAAAGTCAGAGAAGATCTGGTCCAGGCAGCGGTGATTCTAAGTAAAACCACTAAGAGTAGAAATAAGACGTGTGTAGGAAACCTTTAGCTTTAGCTTCTCGTAGTGAGCTCTTTAATCCTGCCTTCTTGGTGGCATTGCGAATCCTAGATGAGCGCATTGTATCTTTGGAGCTCAGATCCCAGAGTCTGGCTTGGCTCCACCTCACGAGCTTGCAATATATTAATAAAGCCACGTTGTCTCTAAACTTAGAAGCCCCACCCCAGCTACTAATGGCTTTAACAGAGCCCTACCTCAGGTTCAGGGTATAGTGGAAAGCATCAGGAAGTGGGAATCGTGGATTCCATCCCAGTGTTTCTCCTCTCTGTGGCCTTAGCTGGTCACTTAGCCTCTAGAGCTCAGTTTCTCCATTGTGAAGAAAGGGAATCATAGTACCTATTCCAACAGCTTACAGGCTTGTTGGTGAACTGGATGAGACAACATCACAGGACCAAAGAGTAAAGTTCTGGTGGTAGGGGTACCTGGGTCATGTTTCCTAGAACCCTGTGACCCCAGATTGGTCTTCATCCTCTCTCTAAGGCTCCATGGTTCATATGAAGCCCTGAAAGGTGGGAACACTACAGAGGCCATGGAGGACTTCACAGGAGGAGTAACAGAGTTTTTTGAAATCAAGGATGCTCCCAGAGACATGTACAAGATCATGAAGAAAGCCATCGAGAGGGGCTCCCTCATGGGTTGCTCCATTGATGTAAGTCTAGGGTGTGGGATGCAGGGCAGGAAGCTGCCAACTATTGGGAAGCCTTACCCAGTGACTAGCAGCATAGGGCTTTCCTCTGGGACAGGGTGAATCTACTGTTTTAGGAAGGTGGAACTGGTTCTCAACTTTGAAAATTGGGAATTTCTCAAGGGAGAAGAGTTTGTGGAGATTTTCAATAAAGATATTCAGCAACGACATTCTAAGCCCTGGAATTTAGGTGGAAATAGGTCCAGAGGCCTATGTCAGTGTAGGCCTCTGTGGTCAGTGTTTCTCAGTCCCAGCATGCCACTATTAAGCTGGCCACACACTTGGCTTAGGGACCTGAGCCCACCAGTTCCCTAAGAAAGCCTCCCGGTCATTGAGCTTTGATTGTATCTCTCACTTGGGATACGGGCTTTGTGTTGTAATCTGGGAGAAACTCAGCCTGTGCAACAAAGTGGTGTGAACTGAGACCAGAGCCAAGACTAAGGGAATGGCAGACTGGCCAGGAGACACACCTTTCCTGGGGGCTGCTCAACGTATCATAAATAGTCTTGGCGATTTCCACTGCTGAAGAAGAGCCCCAAGCTAAGTTCCTGCTCCTTCCTCTCCTAGTACACCCAGTAGCTGGGGAAGCTTGGGAAGATAAGCCAGCATAAAGCACCCATGGATGAACATTTTCTTTCTGCATCACTGTTCTCCGTCTTTTCTGCATTCATGCTCTACTTACCTCTACTCTTTTCTTTTGTCTGTCCCCTCCCTTCTTTCTCTCTCCTTCCCTTTCTGTCACCCTCCTTTGTTTGCTTTCTCTCCCGCCCCTTCCCCTGCCCTCCCCGTCGGGCCTCAGGATGGCACAAACATGACCTATGGAACCTCTCCTTCTGGTCTGAACATGAGGGACTTGATTGAGCGGATGGTGAGGAATATGAATAACTCGCATCTCAGGGATTCAGACCTCATCCCTGAGGGATTCTCAGATGACAGACCGACCCGGGTGTGTACGCCTCTGACTGTCAGGGCTGACCATCCCTCCCACCTGCATGACCCAGCCCTGTTGTATGTGGTGTCAGACCTTCCTCAGCAGCCAGCACCTCACACACAGGCTCCTCCCGAGGCCTTCCAAGGTTCTGGGTTGGAATAACTTGCCCTCTCCAAGGTTCCTGAGGAAGGTGCGGGAGGCAGCTTTTGGAGGGAATCTCTGTGGGAGGTCCTTCAAACTCCATGGTCCAGGCAGTTTCTCTGATAACGAATTAACAGACAGAAATACAAGAGAGACTTCATTCATTTTAAAGTACTTCTCTCCTTCTAATTTGTTCATTTATGTATGCAACACATATTTATTGAGCTCCTACTAGGCACTAGGTAGTCTTCTAGCAAACACAGAAAATTCTCTCCCCTTTGTTTAGGATTCTAGTGAACAAGCAGTCTCCCCCCAACACCCCCGCCCCAGAGCTTATATTCTAGTACTTTTAGAAGTAATTATGTGCCATGGAGTAAAGCAGAAGAAAAATTAAGCTATTATTTTCCCCATCTAAGGATAATAACGTTTGGTATACGTCCTTCTAGTATTTTTCTATGCATACTATTAATCTAAATTTTTATTTTAAAATAGCTGTCATACTGTATGTACCTCTTTGCAGCATGCTTTTTTTCAGTTAGCTTTATATTCCTAATGTGGCAATGAGAATTATATTCTTAATGTGTCTCCTCCAACATTTTTTTTAGTGGCTGCACAATATTCCACCACGCAAATAAGTTATCATTTATCTACCCAATACCTTATTATTGGGAATTTAGATTGTTTTCTTTTTCTGTTCTTGGCTATTACATTTAAATGTTACGACGAACATCCTATAAGATACATCTTTGTGTCTGTCCATGATGATTTCCTTAGGACAGATGGCCAGCAGTGCAATAGCTAGGTATGCATAAGTAATGCCACAAGAGTCATTTCAAGTGGCTCCCTCCCCCCCTCCCCTGCCCCCACCACCTAGAACTGAGAGATGCACGCATCTCCTGCCCCCCTCCCTTTCTATTCAGCATGCTCTGGGTCCTATAAAGACCGGAATCTGGAAGAGGCTGAGATGCAAAAAGCCCTGGCCCTCCACACACCCCTCACCTTGAAAAGGCCTCCAGGCTGCTCCTCTTAAAGCTGTTATGCTATCAGGCAAAGTGAAGCCACAGAGATCCGTCTAGGGCTCCCTGGGCTTTGGTGATCCTACCCCTCTGCCGAGGATCTCCTGTGGCTGCAAATCTCAAATGGAAGAGCTACCCCTGCTCCCTGAGGCACGGTCATGTCTCAGCAGGACTCTCCTCTGGCCTCCTCAGAATTCTCTCCCTGGGCGCTTTTGATTTCTTGAGCGTGTTCTGGGGTGGGGGGTGTGTGGAGGAAGTGAGGGGATGTGAGGATAAAGGGTTAGACCTACATGTTTCGTCTTTTTCCAATCCCCTTCTCTTCCAGGAATAGTCAACCCTGGGTGGGCTCAGGGGAAGGGGAGCCCAATCCAGGGGCAGCCTCCATCTGCCCCCACTTCCTCCTCTGCAGGACCCCAAGGGATCGAGAAAGGAGGGCCAGGCACGCTCTCACCCACCTCGTGCCCCAGCTCCATGTCGCTCTCCGACGGTCTGGGGAAACCACTTGTCTGGGCTGCATTTTCTTGGCTCTCTGAAAGGGCTAGTGAGGGCCTTCTCATGGCTGGGAGGCACACTTCCAGGGCGCGGAGGAGTCCTCGTCCTCGCAGAACCCAGGACATGAACCGGTGTGAACTTTGTCTCAGGCAGCAACCCCTGACAGGTTGTCTGGTTTTCACTCCACAGACGATCGTTCCAGTTCAGTACGAGACAAGAATGGCCTGCGGGCTGGTCAAAGGCCACGCCTACTCAGTCACTGGGCTGGAGGAGGTGAGCCTGGCGGGACTCGGAGGGACGGGACTTGAGGGGCTACTTGGGTGAACCTCCCGAAGTCAGGACTTGGCTTTCTGTGTCCCTTCACATCTGTAGAATTTGCCTCCAATCAGGCACTCAGGCCGAGCGCCTGGGGTTGGGGGAGACCACTGGGACTGGCAGGTGGATCTTGCCACAAGATGGTGCTCAGTTTATGTTTGTTTTTAGTGCTAAAGATAGCAATTGCCCCAACATTTCCAAAGAACAAATAGAAAGCACTTTGGTTTTATGAAGTTGATATCATGGGCTCTTGTGTTCCTTGTTTTCCATGGTCAGTTCCAAGGTTTTGCTCCCCCTGGGATGTCTGGCCTTCACTGGGTCACGTCACAGACAGGAACCTTGTCAGGCCCCTTGTGCACAATTGGGCGAGTTGTGCCCTGTTCACAGAGATGGGCAGTCGTCTGCAGCAGACAGGAGGAAGGGCCCCTTTTTCTCATTGATCCATCTGGAAGGGACATTTTCTATAGTTCCTCAGCCAGCAGGGGCGTTTTATCTAATTCACACAGAGGCACCTTGTGCTAGCAGAGCCCTACATTATATTCCCTGCCTCCTCTCCCAAAGCTCTGAATGGCCCAATGTTCGCTGGGAAAATCACTTCTTAGAAGATGGCAAGGTGGTGGCCAAGCCTGACTCCTGAAGACTCAGCCCTAAGGTTCTGACCCATCACCCTGCCATTCCACAGGGCACTTGTGATTAGTGTCCTTGACCGGGGCCAGGCAGGACAGGCCCCTGTACAGGATTCTCTCCCCACTCCCACCCCAGCCCTCAGGGCAAGACAGAAGACCCCCTTTCAGAAAGGGCCCAAAGGGAGAAAGCTTTTTCTCTTTGCTCAAGGCCCTGTACAAGGGTGAGAAAGTGAAGCTGGTGCGGCTGCGGAACCCCTGGGGCCAGGTGGAGTGGAATGGCTCCTGGAGTGACAGGTGGGTGCGGGGACCCCACGAATAGGGGACAACAAGGCCTGGGGCAAGGCAGGGCTGGGTACCGAGCCACAAGAGTACTACAAATGCTTGGGCTAAAATCACCCTTAAAACCAAGGATGCGCAGAGGAGAAGAGGGGACGTGGGCTTCAGGAAGGGCTGGGAGCAGAGCCACGGGAACCTGGGATCCAGAGAGCTTGCCGATGGCCACTGTCTGGAAAGGAAAGATGTCTAGAAAGCCTGGGCTAGGTCCAGGCAGGAGGGGAATCTTGATGCAGGAGTCTGGACTGGACAGGTGACTTCCCTTCTCGGAATCTCTGTTGCCTTATCTGTAAAACGGGAACAACGTTAGCACCTACCCGGTGGGCTGTTATGAGGAGAAAATGCGGTTGTGTCAGGAGAGCGCCTAACCAGTGCTAAGATTTCCTCTCCCTCACTATCCCCATAAAGAGATGCACAGGCCCTTTGCAAGAACTGTACTGCTTATCACTGAGAGCAAGTGACCGGGGGCAGCAAAACTAGCACACCTGGGGAAGCTGTTATGAAGGCTCCAGAAGGTTCACAAAGCCTCTATTGTCCCACCCCAATCGCTGGCTCCTGACTCCGCCTCTCTGGTTGGAGAGTAGGCCCTGGAGCTCCTTTACTCCCAAGGCGGGGAAAGCAGGACTCAGCAGCTGGGAAGGACCACACCCAGGCTGTGTGTGTCCTTCAGCCCCTGGCTTACCTCAACATACCTCTCATCTCAGGGCACCGTAATCACTGGTTCATTCGGCCACGCATTCACTTAGCAAGTATTCGCTGAGCACCTACTGAATCCCAAGCACAGGTCTAAGCACTGGGGCCCTTCCGTGAGCAGGCAGCCTCGCTCAGTAGACCGATAAGGTGCTGATCCTGGTCTCCTTACCGTTCCCTTCTCTTATCCGTGCGACAAATCCCCAGTTCCTCAGTGTGCAGTACGTGCCAGGCCCCATGCTACTGTCTGGGGACTTAGAAATGAACGCAGAGATTCAGGGCCTGCCCTGTAGGCTTTAGGGTCCAGTGGGAAGGACAGAAAAACACTAATCGTTGAGAGAAATGCTATGGTACAGGTCACAGAGAGGGAGCCCTTCTCCTGGTCTGGGTGGGACAGGAAGGGAGAAAGCTGCCTGGAGGGAGTGGCATTTGAACTGGGCTCTCTGCTCTGCGAAGGCCCTCGGTGCCCCATCAGTTGTCCACTCCACTGACCCGAGTCACCCACAGGGACCCTCGCTGTGTCCTCCAGTCTCAGATCTTGGTGTCTGGCCTTAACTCACTTTCTGCCCACACCTCCACGGCAGGGGTCACTGACTAGTGGGGCCCAGCCTCAGTCACACAAGGAGACCCTCCCCCCAACTCCCCGCCACTGTGCCCCTCCTGCTGGTCTCAGGAATCTCCACTTCCCCTCCGGTAGGTATTCCCTGGTTCCAAGCACTTCCTCAATCCCTTACCTCTCCAAACTAGTTTAGTTTCATTCTCCTCCACATGCCTGAAACACAAATGTGCTTTATTTCCTCCTTCTTCGGGAGAAAGAGTGTGTAAAACTGCCCAGCCTTTTAAAACATAGAACTGGGATGTTTCGTGGGGTGGCAGGAGGAAGGAGAAGTTTACATGTCTGATCTTTCTCTCAGTAACTCAGACAGTTACTTATTAGATGATGGGTCTGTTCTAAAAGTTTTGCATGCGTTATTTCATTTCTTGCTCATCACAGCCCTGTGAGTAGGTGATATAATCATTCCCCTTTTGCAGTTGAGAAAACAGAAGCTGAGAGGGGTGAAGTGACTTGCCCAAGGTTACAGCTAGTACTGGTATGATTAAATTGAAATCCCAGTTTACCTATTTCCAGAGCCCAACTCCTAACTTTAAAGTGTGAGGAACGGTTAAAGATTCAGCCAGAGGAGAGTCAAGCCCTTATAAACCATTCAAAAAGTGTGGTCTTAATCCTGAGGATGGTGGGAAGCAATTATTGGGTTTTACGCTGAGGGTATCAGATCAGATTTGCATTTCGATGGTTCACACTGGCTGCAGTTTGGAGATGACCTGTTCTCTGAACTTATTCATATTTCTCTGACACCTCCTGTCCCAACTCACACCAGCCCTTCCCTTTCTTTTTCCTTCCCTAACTCCTCCACTCTCCCTCCAGTTGGAAGAACTGGAGCTTTGTGGACAAGAACGAGAAGGCCCGTCTGCAACACCAGGTCACGGAGGATGGAGAGTTCTGGTGAGTCCAGGCCCCAAGAGGACCCTACAGGGTAAGGGACGGGGTGGGAGCTGAAATCTCAAGCCTCCATCCCCGGACAGAGGCCGTCAGATTCCAGCCCTTGGGACATCTGGGCCCTGTTCTCCAAATCCAGCCAGAGACCCAGCAAGACTGAGGTTTTGAGAGGAGCCCAAGAATCATGGCGATGACTGAGCCCAGGACCGGGCCAGCACGCTGTGGCTCCCACCTCTCTGTGCCCCTCCACCACGCACGCTGCTCCAGCCACTTGCTCCCTCCCAGCCTCCGCGGGGCCGTTTCCTGAGCCGAGGAAGCTCTACTTACTCTGCTCAGTCAAGGCCCTCCTCACCCTCACTCTGATCATTTCTACTCAGCCTTCAAGTCTCAGATTAAAGGGAACTTTCTTCAGGATCCCCTTGTTTTCCTCAGGATTGTGATTAATTTATCTGTGATACTCACCACCTTTCAAATTGCTTGTTTCATCGTCTGTCCTTCCCCAACTCTCTCTCTTTCCCCTGGCCCAGTGCCTGAGCCCGGTGGAGGGGCACACAGTAACACTTTGGAGAACTGAATTGCTGCCAAGCTCTCCCATCAAGAACACACGAGTTTGAGTCGTTATTGCAAGGGATACATCAGAACTGACAGTACTGACCCTAAAAAGGAAGGACAGGGTCCTCTAGGATCATGACCAAGTGGCTCTGGACTATTTCATTGTGCTGTGTTAGCCCTGGAGTCTTACCTTTCCCAGCCTCCCATATGGGTCTCTCTCTTCTTCCAACCTCTCAGGATGTCCTATGACGATTTCATCTACCATTTCACAAAGCTGGAGATCTGCAACCTCACAGCTGATGCCCTGGAGTCCGACAAGCTTCAGACTTGGACAGTGTCCGTGAACGAGGGCCGCTGGGTGAGGGGCTGCTCTGCTGGAGGCTGCCGCAACTTCCCAGGTGGGAGATGCTCTGGATGGGGGAAGGGTCCAAGCAGAACAAGTTCCAGGTAGAAGAGTATTAACTAGCATTTGCTGAGTCTCTACGAAGTCCCAGACACACATTATCTTATTAAACTGTCCCCATTTTACTGAGGACACCTCCATGCTGAGGAGTTTGCATTAAGGAGCTGGTAACAACCTTTAAGCAGGTTATTATGTCAGAACAGGATTGTGTTCATAATGCTGAGGATGGGACTGGAGGACTGAGTTAGCAGCTTCTGCAAGAATTCAAGCCAGAGATGAGGAAAGCCTAGGCCAAGTCAGGAGCAGCAGAGATGGAGGGGAGATGGGGCAGGTTGAGGGGAGGGAATACTGGGTGATGTGGAGATGGAAGAACGACTTCAAGATTCCCACTCTGGGGCTTCCCTTGTGGCGCAGTGGTTGAGAGTCCGCCTGCCGATGCAGGGGATGCGGGTTCGTGCCCCGGTCCGGGAAGATCCCACATGCCGCGGAGCGGCTGGGCCCGTGAGCAATGGCCGCTGAGCCTGCGCATCTGGAGCCTGTGCTCCACAACGGGAGAGGCCACAACAGTGAGAGGCCCGCGTACAGCAAAAAAAAAAAAGATTCCCACTCTGGGGGCCTGAGCACATGGTGCCAGGGAGGTAACATGAAACACACAAGAGAAAAACAATCGGTGATTTTTTTTGTTTGTTTTTTTTGGGTGGAGTCGGTTGTGGGGAGGGGAGGGGAGGGAGGGGAGTTTACTTTGGGACATGGGAAGTCTGAGGCACCTGTAAATATCCAGGTGAAGATGTGTGACAGAGAACTGGATGCATAGATAAGAATGGTACTTGACTCTACGATAGGGACTCAATATAGATTTGTGGAAGGAAGGAAGAAAGGATGGAAAGAAGAGAGGAAGGAAAGGAGGGAAGGAGGGAAGAAGGGAATGAAGGGAGGGAGGAAGAAAAAAAGAAAGATAAAAGGGACAAAGGGAGAGAGTCAAGAGAGAGATTGAGGCTGGGATCTGCAGCTCAAGCGTCACCAGCATGCAAGGAGCAGTTCGAAAGTGGGAGTTGATAAGACAGCCTAGGGAGGTAGAATGATGGGGTGAGAGAAGAGGCCTAGGACCAAATCCCAGGGACCAATAACACTGACGAGAGAGGTGAGGAAAGTGAAACCATCAGCAAAGACAGAGAATGAAAGTTCAGAGACGAAGGAGGAGCCATGCAGGCATCAGTGCAGCTCCATCTGTATAAGGGTGTAAAGGCTACCCCCCACACACCAAATAATTAGACAAATGCCTGGATCATTTTTTTTCCGTACATATTTGAGCACCTAGGTGTGGTGGGATAGAGATAAATAGGTTCCCTCTGTCTCATCTCCCATCATCCTGCCTTGTCTCTGAGAGGCAGATCTGAATGTACAATTCCTTTCTGCGGGGCACAGACACTTTCTGGACCAACCCTCAGTACCGTCTGAAGCTCCTGGAGGAGGATGACGACCCTGACGAGTCCGAGGTGATCTGCAGCTTCCTGGTGGCCCTGATGCAGAAGAACCGGCGGAAGGACCGGAAGCTGGGGGCCAACCTCTTCACCATCGGCTTCGCCATCTATGAGGTGCGCCGTCCCTGATCAGCTCCTTTTCAGGAAGGAGGCTTTCAGGGGGCTTCCCAAGGGGTCCCCCGGCTTCCCCAATACCCATGACCCCACCAAACTCCTGATATCGGGCCCACTTGCGTCAGAACCTCTTAGAAGTTTGTAACGAGTGGAAAAAACCCCCCGTCTAGGGGAGGTGGAGGGGGGCCAGGGCTCTCCAGGTAGCTACACGGGGAGTCAGACCCCTGCATTTGCTCTATGATTGCTAGCATGCCCTTCTGGCAAGCTTTCCATCCCCATTCAGATCTGAAATCACAGAATCTGAGCACCTTCCTTTTCTGTTTCTCCCCAAGGTTCCCAAAGAGGTACAGAAGTGGAGCAGCCAGCAGTGCATGCAGCGTTACCTGGGGGCCTGTGTCCACCTGTGGCACATCGGGGAGCCTCCTGTGGGGTTTGTGGGAAGGACTACGATAGGAGAGGGCCTTGCCCTCATTACTCAACTCCAGAGTCAGGGCCTCAGGGTACTGCATGGCCTCCTGACCACCGCCCCTACAATGTGCCCTTTCACCCCTCCCGCCAGAGACTGTCACACACTCACACACTCGCTCACACTCACACACAGAGTCACACAGACACATTCTGAGGCTGACTGCCCTCTTTGGGGTGGAGGGATCGCTTCCCTCAGACCCCAGCCACAGCTCCCCCTGCCTCCTTGGGGTCCTTCCCCAGCCTGGAGGTGATCTGGAGCTAAGCAGTGGCAGTTCTGGTAAGTGGCCCTGAGTGGGGGATGCCAGAGTTGACACTCACTTCTGGATCACAACAGAAAAGGGGATATGGATGGAGTAGGGAGCTCCAGGGATGTTGACCTATTCGAGGCCTTAGGAATCAGAAGTCGGTAGGTCATGACTGTGAAATGGGTGACCAGGGAATCGGCAGGGAGGACTCCCTGGAGGAGGACTGAGCAGGACAGGGCGTCCCTCCCGAGGGGCTCAGGTCCCTTGGGCTCTTCTCTCCCTCAGATGCACGGGAACAAGCAGCACCTGCAGAAGGACTTCTTCCTGTACAACGCCTCCAAGGCCAGGAGCAAAACCTACATCAACATGCGGGAGGTGTCGGAGCGCTTCCGCCTGCCTCCCAGCGAGTACGTCATTGTGCCCTCCACCTACGAGCCCCACCAGGAGGGGGAATTCATCCTCCGGGTCTTCTCTGAAAAGAGGAACCTCTCTGAGTGAGTCCCAGCCTGGCTTTTCCCCCTAAGAGCCCACATGGCCCATTCCAGAGATCAGAGGTGTGAGGCAGCTGGACAGGTCTCCTCCAGGAGTCCTGGGATATGCTGACCAGGCTGTACCTCTTCCCCTGTTCCCAAGCCACTGGCCACTTCTCCCCTACATCTATCCATCCCACAGATAGTTATCGAGCACCTGCTATGTCCCAGGCACTCTTCCTCTAGGCACTGAGGATACAGCAGTGAATTAAACAGAAGGAAATCCCTGCCCTCATGGAGCTTAACATTCTAGCATGAGATGACAATGTACAGGAAAAAGTATACTGAGTATATTAGATTTAGATAAGTGATAAGGAGAAAACATAAAGTGGGAAGAGGGATAGGAACAGTTGGGGTTGATTGAACTTTTAGGATTAGGATGACCAGGGAGGGCAGCAAGGCCACATCCTGCCCTCTTGGTCATCAGAGGTGAGTTCATAGGTCCTGCCATTTTGACCTCTGTCCCTAAAAGAAGCACAAGGTCCATGGATAGGTGGCTGGGTAATGCATTTGGGGAAATCTGGACAAAGCCAACAAGAAGCCCTGTGTCTGCACTTGGCTGCAGGGAATGATACCTGTGGTGGAGGATGTTAGTTCCTGGGGTTCTCTTGAGGTCAGTGCCAACTTGACTCTGAGAAGCCAGGTGGCCTGAGCAAATCCCCTCTGTGCTTCCTACTTACTCCTGGTGACACTGAGATACCCTCATGTTTGTGTTCCTCACAGGGAAGTTGAGAATACAATCTCCGTGGATCGGCCAGTGGTAAGTGGTTTGGCTCTTACATGTGAGAAGGCCCAGGGCACAGGTGGGTGATGGAGGAGAGAGTGGGTATCAGCAGAGGGACGTGGGAGTCTGGGGTGTGCAGAGCAATTACTCCGTGTTACTGCAGCTTCTGTGTGGCATGGCTTGAAGTCATGGGACTTACGTCCTGGGGATATTTACTTAGTCCAGGGGCTAGAAGGACAGAAGAGAGTCCTAGAAGGAGCAGCAGTTTGAACAATTAGGGGGAGGGATCAAGGCCACAGGAAGGGATGACAACAGCAGCAGCCAGCTCTGGATTCTGAGTTAGAATCTCACATAGAAAAAAACCAGCCCTACACTGGCTCTGGAGTCTCAAAACCCGGGTCCTCCACCTGCCAGCTCTGTGACCTAGACAAGTTATGTAACTCGTCTGACTCAGTTTCCTACCCTGTAAAATAGGGATGGTAATATGTGCCTTGCAAGGCTTTTGTGAGCTTTGAATCAATGAGATCATGTACATGAAGGGTCTGGCAAAGCACGGGCCCTTAAATGGTGATTATTGTTCACGTGTTTTACATCTTACAAGGTACTTCTCACATGTGTCATCTCACTTGATCCTTGCAAGGTTTCTGAGATGTAATAATAAGGTCATTCTCCCTGATTTTCAAGTAAGGAAGCAGAGGCTCAGTGGGGTTAAAGGGCTCCCTTGAATTCACAGAGCTCGTAAATGGCAAGGCTGGAACTCACATCCAGATTCTCTGAGCCCAGACTCAGGCTCTCTCCCCCATCCCATGCCGAGGCCTGTCCCCCCCAGGGTGGGAGGCCCAGGGTTAGATGCACAGAGCTGGTGTGTGTTGGGGTCTCCTTGTGTTGAAGAGTCTTGTGACTGCCTTGGACTTTGGGCTCTGGCTAATTGTCCCTTGTGTTCTGTGGGTGTGTCCTGGGCCAATAAGAGGACAGCAAATGCCCCACTGAATCGTCTTCTGGGTAGTGACACTCATGGTTCTGATCCTGACCCTGTGCTAGTGGCAGATCTCCAAGTGCCTTCTGAATTATCACAGATGTTGGTTTTAGTATTAAGTGCATTTGGTGCTAGTCTCATCTTTTGAATGTCAGTAATCAGTGTATTTATCAGACGTTGCAAACTCAAAAGCTTACGGGGACTGGCAGGTCACCTACCTGAGTGGAGCAGGCAGGCATGGGGGTTTTGGTGTCCCTACACTGGTATATTTGCCTGTAGTTCTCAACTGACACTTGGTTTCAGTGTCGGAGAGACAGCTGGTGTGGTGGTGTCTGTAGCAATCTGGAGGGTGCAGAGAGCTGCTGCTCCCAGCTCCCTGGATTGCTGTCACAGGGGGTCACAGGCCCGTGCAGCCTGCCAGACCTTCTAATTTTACCAAAAAAACAAAACCCGAAACTCTGTAAGTCAAATAAAATTCATTTTCAGGCCAGTTTGGGTGAGCCACTTTTTTTTGGTGTTTTAGTAACCAACTTCATTAAAAGATACAAAACATCTGCCAGAAGATCCCCTTCCTTGGCCACGTCCAATAGCAGAGTGGACTATAGAAGCAAAGCCATAGCAGCCGCCAGTCTCTGGGCCTGGAGAAGTCTCTTCTCCTTTCACCCTCCAGGCCCATTTGGCTCCATGTGACCTGGATTTCTGGACCCTGGAACCTCACCCCACACTGAGGACCAGGTCACAGGGAAGCCAAAAGCCACTGGGTTTTCTGGGAACTTGCTTTTCACTTATTCTGCATTTATTATTTCCTTTCCTTGTGCAGAAGAAGAAAAAAACCAAGGTGGGTGTAAGAGGGTGAGTGGGCAGAGAGCACGGCGTGTGCGTGCGCATGAGCATGCGTGCACTGGACTTGTCCCCTCCCCCCCAGCCCTCCACCTCCTTCCCTGAGCTCCTGTGGCATCTGTGGGTACACAGCAACGATAGCTAATGCTTGCTGAGCGGAGGCTACGTGCCAGGCACTCTTCTAGGTGTTTTCCATGGATTCTCTCAACCCTCACAGCAACTCTATCAGATTGGTACAGGCAGGCCTCGGAGATATTGCAGGTTCAGTTCCAGACCAGCACAATAGAGCGAGTATCGGAATAAAGCAAGTCACACGAATTTTTTGGTTTCCCAGTGCGTATAAAAGTTATGTGTACACTATACTGTAGTCTATTAAATGTGCAATAGCATTAAAACTAAAGGGCATACCTTAATTAAAAATACTTTATTGCTAAAAAATGCTAATCATCATCTGAGCCTTCAGCAAGTCACAGTAGTAACATCAAAGATCACTGACTGCAGACCACCATAACAAATAACATAATAGTGAAAAAGTTTGACATACTGCAAGAATTACCAAAATGACACAGAGACACAAAGTGAGCAAATGCTGTTGGGAACATGGCACCGATAGACTTGCTCAACACGGGGCTGCCACAAACCTTCCATTTGTAAAAGGGCAGTATTTGCAAGGCACAATGTAACAAGGTATGCCTGTACTACTATTATCTCCATTATCAAAGGAAGAAAAGGTACAGGCAGATTGACTAACTTGCCCAAGACCACACAGCCAGTAAGTGGCAGACCCGGCCCTTGGAACCAGGAGGTCTGGCTGGAACCAGGAGGTCTGGCTCTGCAGTCCGTGCTCTGAACCACCACGTTATATTGCCCGCTTATAAGAGGGAGGGAGAGGATGGCCCTCCAGTGAAAATGGGCCTGACATGGGGGTCCTGCACAAACCAGAAGGAGCACCTCTTCTTTTTCAGAAACCGGTTTGGCTAAGCTAAGCAAGGCTCGATTCTTGCGGGTAATGGCAATGGGTTCTGTTCCTCAAGGGACAGTGAGAGAGTTGTGTGAGGATTTCCATGGAGAGTGAGGGCCTTGTGATGCCAGCTGCCTGCTCAGCAGACAGGACGGCTCCTTCTCCCCCCTCTATTTCCCTGCCTGCTCCCCACTCCTCCTTTTTTCTTAGCTTTCTGCGGAAGGGGCGGTGAGGACGCCCAGAGGGGCTGTCACTGCCAGGGCTCTTGTTCCAGGTGAAGCCTGTTGCAAATCCCCTCCTAGACAGTGACCTCTCTCTCTGAACTAAGCCCCCCTAAGTCATGGGCCCTGATGGACTCTGATTGCTGTGCGTGTCCAGACGGCAAAGGGGAAAGGGGAAGAGAAGCTTCACTGGCACAGCCCCAGAGGAGCTGCTCAACGTGACTGCTTTAAAGGGGAGAAATGAGGAGAGCTACCTGGGCAGCTTCCCCTCCTGGGGTCTTAAGGAAGAGTCCCTCCTGGGTGTCCTGGTTAAGACCACTTTGCTGTAAGAACACCATCACTAAAGGTGACCATGTGTGCTAAGAGCATCTCAGGGGCCTCAGATGAAAGCTTCCATCTGAGACCAAGGTCACTGTTTCCCTTGTGTGGTTTTGGAGCTCGAGATTACAACCTCATCCTTGCTCCATTCACCCCATAACTTCCCCATAGTCTTCAGGGTGGTAGTGCCCACAATAACGGTGCCCCTTTTAGAATTCTGGTTTGACCACCCAGAGTGCCATCCAGAAATGACTGACCTTTGGGCATCCTCAAGCCCACGGAGCAGTAGCCATAGGCTATCAGACAAGGTTTGGTGTTAGTGTTCATGACAGCGTCTGGAAGGATCCGTCATAGGGGTCCTCCGAGCACTGGTGCTGATGCAGACCAGAGCTGAGATTCCTCAAGCACCTAACACTGCATATTAAGGCACTGTGCTGGGGGTAAAATATACATTGTTTTCATTACAACAGTATCTACAAGGTATGTGCTGTTATGATTCCCCTTTTATAGATGAGGATAAAGACTCAGAAGTACTTGCCTAAGGACACACAACTAATGGAACTGGAAATCGTATTTGTCTGCTCCGAAACCCATGTTTCTTGCCCTCAGCTCTCTGGTGCAGGCCCCTTATACTCTATTGCCTGTGTTGCCCAGACCCACACGTGGGCCCCAAGATGTGTGCCTGGCAGGGGTGCCCCATGGCCACACCATGTCCATGGGCACACATCCCCGCCTCAGACTGTGCGCCCCACTTGCTCTGGGATTCCCTACAACCATCAGTTACTTGAGCAAGACCCTTTGCTTGGAAGGCAGAGCAAGCCAAGGTACTTGGGGCCTGCTGGGAGCCAAAGCCAGGGAAGCTCTTTCCATAGGTCTGTCCATTTGTGCTGTCCCAGACAAACAGTATGGAAAGGCAAATGGGGACTCAGCGGTCAGGTTCCATTTCTGCTCTGAGAGACTCTGATTGCCCCCTTGCTCTCTGGCCTGCAGCCATCAGCCTAGCCTTTCTCTTCTGGCTTTCCTTGTAGGATGTATACACCAACCAGTACTGGCACAGCATGGCAGCTGCTCTCCACCCTTTTATATCCTCCTCACTTGCATGAGCATGTCTGGCAAATACCCCTTATATTTGTGTAGCATCTTAAATGTTTTTGCAATACAATTTTACATTCAGTATCCCATGTGATCCCCATAAGAGCCCAATGAGAAAGGCAAAGCAGGTTTTATCATCCCCATTAATGGATGAGTAAACCGAGTCCAGAGGATATTTCTCAGATGTGAGGGGTACGGCTGGGACGCCAGCCAAGTGTTCTGACCTCACTCACTGACCATGCCATTAATCAGAGTCCTTTTTTCAATGTGTCCTCTGCCAAGTCCTAGAGGCTCCTTGGAGGTGCCTCAGTAGCTGCCACGGTGATGTGGGGATGCTGAGGGAAAAGAGCTCTGCCTTCTTCATCAAGCAGAGAAGCTCTGTTTTTAATGACTTCTGGGGAAATTTAATTTGAACAGGGCTTCCATTTGAAAAAAAAAAAATCTACAAAATACTTGAAAATCACTGCACTAGATCATGCTGCTTTTAGCATTCTTAGCATTTTCACGTGCAGTAACTACCTTGCTTAATCCTCCTAATTCTACCTTGAGGAGATAAGGAACTGAAGTCCAGAGAGACTTAGCATCTTTCCCCAAGTCACACAGCTTGTTAGTGGCAGAGACGGAGGTTGAACGGAGGTTCAGGAACTCCCAACTCTGCTCTTTCCCTCTCCACTGGACAAAGCTGGTCCAGGAGGGAGGTTGCCTCCTTGTGCCCGCTCAGGCAGTAATCCTTGTCTCCTTCCTGCCCCCTCCCTACTTCCCTCCTCTCTCCAGCCTATCATCTTCGTTTCAGACAGAGCAAACAGCAACAAGGAGCTGGGTGTGGACCAGGAATCAGAGGAGGGCAAAGACAAAACAAGCCCTGATAAGCAAGCGAAATCCCCACAGGTTTCTGAGCATGTGCATGAATGGGGTAGCCAACACACAACTGAGGTCTATCCTCTTGGGGTGCATGGGGGTTGGAGGGGCCACAGGGGTGGGGTGTCCCTTTAACATCTAGAGGTTTGGGTTTGTCCCACTGACCTTTTCTCTCATCAAGTTCTCCTAAAATCTGGGATGCTGCTTGGGTGAATGTCTTGGGGTTGGCTGCCCCACCAAGCTGGTCCTAGGCCTGGGAAGGACAGGCCGAGCCTCCCCGCTGGAGCCCATCCAGCCAGGAAAGAGAGAGGGATGCAAAGCCTAAGACAGAAGCAGCTTGAGATGGAACAACTCCTGTTTCCTGGTGTCATTAACAATGGGGAGGATAAAGAATAGTAGTGGAAAAGGGGGATGACACCAGAAATGGAGTCCTCCAGAGCTCAGGGGACGGTGTTAGAGGGGGGAGAGGTGGTCATATAAAGCTTACAGGAGGTTATAGACTAAGAGGCAAAAGTCCACAGATAAATCCAGGGCTATCTCTATCCTGTAGTGCCCAACGGAGTGGGGAGGGGAGGAGGGTCCTCTGAAGATTCGGCCTTGATGACAGAGGCAGCTGGAGCTATCAGATTGGTCTGGCCCCCTCTGTCTTGCTGGGGCTGGTTTGGTTGGGATGGTCAGGCTCAAAACAGTGGAGGGGGCTCTAGCAGGTGGGGATGGGGCGAGAGGACCAAGAGGGCTGTCTACATGATTGCAGAGCTAATATACCTCCTCTGGTTAGAATGTCTGAGCTGCGGGGGTATGGAGTGAAGGCTCACCTGGGCCTAGACGATCCTCACTCCAGATCACCAGGTTCAGCTGAGAAAGAAGAGCATTTGCCCTGTACCCAGCTCCTGCTGCCACCTAGGGCTGTTTTAGGCACCTGGCTCCTTCAGTCCAGAGGAACTTTCCTCTCGGGTCTGTCCATCTCCCTGGTTCTCACCAACCAGTTTTCCTTTGTGCTTCCATAGTCAGAGCCCAGCAGTGCTGACCAGGAAAGTGAGGAACAGCAGCAATTCGGGAACATTTTCAGGCAGATAGCAGGCGATGTGAGTACCTCCAACCCCGACTCCCACAGACACTCCTCTCCTTAATTGCTCAATTTGCCAGTTATTTCATTATGGTTCAGTAGAGGTCATTTTGGCTTTTGGTGGAAACAGGGTGTATGAGTGTAGCGCAGAAATCCACAAGTGAAGTCCTCGAGTTTTTGACCAACACACCCACTGGGTGGCTCTGAGCTGCCCACTGCAGTCTGGACAGCTGAGGCTGCAGTGTGTCTTCCTCAGAAGAGCCCCTGCTTCCCCACGACAGAATAGCCCTGACAGGGACTTTACAACCACGGACAGCCGGGATTTGTTTTGCAAAGCCCGGGCTCCAACAGTTGCTGTACTTTTGAACCATGACTCTCTTCTCCCTACCTCCTCAGGACATGGAGATCTGTGCAGATGAGCTCAAGAATATCCTTAACAGAGTTGTGAACAAACGTGAGTGGCTCAAACTCTGTGAGAAACAGATGGGTGGTGGGGGCAGTGTGTGTCCAGTTATCTGAAAGCAGCTCCTCACTCTTCTCCATACCTCCCAGATAAGGATCTGAAGACACAAGGCTTCACGCTGGAGTCCTGCCGTAGCATGATTGCTCTCATGGACGTATCCTTCCTGCCACCCCTTCCCAAGCCTCTGTCATCAGCCCCTGAGCAGCCTCTGGGGGCTAGGGCAACAAATGGGGTGGGGGGGGGCCCAGTCAAGCAGCGGGGCTCAAATTCATGCCCAAGGAAAGATTTAAGGAGGCCCTGAGTTAGAACCTCCTGGCTGCTGGTCTGAAAGGGGCTGTTGGAGGAGGTACAGTTGGGAAGAACATTGGCCCCTGCTCTTAACCTCAGGCCTGGGATTCTGCCTGGGGCCCTAACGAAAGTGGTCCTTAGGAGAAACGTTCCCTGGGTTATAGAGCAGGCATTAATTTTGACTCAGGAAGCATAGAGGGGGGTGTTAAATACCAGGACAGGGCAGAGTGGGATATCCTGGGCAAAGCTCTCCTATGGGGCTACTTTCCCTGCACAGCCGCCTAGAAAGCCCTCTCCCCATCCAGGGGGATTTTGCTATGTGCCCTGTAGCCCTGACTTCCTTCCTCCAGACAGACGGCTCTGGGAGACTGAACCTGCAAGAGTTCCATCACCTCTGGAAGAAGATTAAGGCCTGGCAGGTGGGATGAGAGAACGAAGGTGGGAGTGAGGAAGGAACTGATGCAGAGATTCAGTGTGCGACCCCTGTCCTCAAATTTTCTATTGCCAGAAAATTTTCAAGCACTATGACACAGACCAATCCGGCACCATCAACAGCTACGAGATGCGAAATGCAGTCAATGACGCAGGTGTGGGGAAGAAAGGGGGTGGCCAGGATGCGGACTGGAGCCGGTGGGAGCAGGAACGGGAGGGGAGGATGGGGCCACTTGGGCCCTACTAGAGAAAGGAATGAGAGAGGGCTTCTCGCTTTCCTCTCCCAGGCCCCAGCGTGACCAGGAGGCAGGGGAGATAGCACGCAGGCCTGAGGGCTCCAAGCCTACCCCATCTCTCCTGTGCTCCCCCCACAGGCTTCCACCTCAACAACCAGCTCTACGACATCATCACCATGCGCTATGCAGACAGGTCCATGAACATTGACCTCGACAGCTTCATCTGCTGCCTCCTCAGGCTGGAGGGCATGTTCAGTAAGTGGACAGCTACCCTTTTGCTCTCTTTGCCCCTCCTGCCCCCTCTCCTGCAGCGACAGCTGTGGTGGCGGGAATCTCCACTAACTGACCTACTGTATGACCTTGGACAAATCCCAATCTACTGTATTCAGACTGCACAAAGGTGAAGGGCCTCTTCAGGCTCAGAATGGGATGGCAAAGGGAGGGTTACGGGTGGTACTCTGCCTGGTAGATTTTTGTGCTGAAGAGCAGCACTCAGCACACAGTTAAGAAAAGGTAGAGCAGTGGAGGGGGAATGAGCCTTTAACTGGCCTCTGGCCTGTGCGTTCTTCCACACAGGAGCTTTTAATGCATTTGACAAGGATGGTGACGGTATCATCAAACTCAACGTTCTAGAGGTAAAGCCTAATAGAAGCCGTACAATCCCCCTGAACCTTAAAATTCAAGGTAGAGGAATCCATGAAGAAGACTGGACACACTATGCACTCCTCACTTCCCAACGGTGGTGGAGGGATGGGATGGGAAAGGAACATAAAGGGAAGCTCACGGCTCAGCAGGATGTGGCTCATCGGGAACGAGGACTGGGGGAAGGCTCCAGGGAGGCCTCAGTTCTACAATGACTTTATGCTGGAAAATATGTACCTTCTAGGAGAGATCTGTGGGAAGGATGCAGTACACCGCTGCTTCTCAGAAAATCTTCCCAGTGTCTGGCATGCTGGGGGCTGTCCCTTTCCTCTACCCCGTTAGATCCCTAGGGCTGGGCTCCCTTTTCTTGTTTGCATTCTGATCTTGGGACTTCCTCTTTCAGTGGCTGCAGCTCACCATGTATGCCTGAACCAAGCTGGCCTCATCCAAGGCCATGCAGGATCACTCAGGATTTCAATTTCACCCAACAGAGCTAGAGCCACTTACCTCAAAGGACACAGTAGCTGCACCCTCAGCAGACCTCCAGGCACCTCATCGGTCTTGTTCCTCCTCTACTCACTTCCTTCTCAGCCTCAGGGTATCTGTCCATCTGTCATGCCCAGCCTCACCCTTTAGTTAAGGAATGGGGAAGGGAGAACAACTCTGTCCCTGTGCCACATGGAGGCAAGTGTCTCTGTCTGCCTCAGCTAGCCATGGCCCAGTGACAGCTTTGCTTGGAGTCTGAGTGGCCTCAGCTCTGAAGCAAACACTCCCTTTAGCTTGCCCTCGGCTGTTCGCAGAAGCATTTGCCAGTGGCACTCAACACTTCCTGGTGCTAGAGCCCTCTATCACCTTTATATTCTCCCAGTCCCGGGACAGCAGCCCAATGAGCATTTGGTTCTGCCTGACTGTTTCAGGATGGGCCTGCTCCAGAGTAAACTAGCTCAGCGGAAGAGGGTTGGACACTTTGGGTTATCTGACTCATAAGTTTGGTTGCATTTTGAAAAACAGTTGATCTAAATAAAGGCACCTGTATAGCTGGCTTGATCGTGTTTTGTTTTCTCACATTTAGATGTCAGCCACAGCAGGGATGAGTAGCTCCAATCTTACCCATCACGTATAGAGAGCCGTAGTTTCAGAACACAGCAATGGAAAATACACACATACACAAATAAATCCTAAACCCCGCTTTAATCATGGCTTTTGCTATTTCTTGAGCACAGGAATCAGTCAAATACTTTCCAAGACACATGAGGAAAGGAAGGGGAATAGCTGTTGGTGTCTAGATCAAGACAAAATGGGTCACCTATAACCAGAGGGGCCAGTTACCTGAGTGTAATGGAGCAGAGATAAAGTTTTTAATCCTAGTTCCTCCACTAATATTGCCCTACTGTATGACCTTGAACAAATCCTTATATGTAGCGGTCTGCCGAGCTTATCTGGACCATGATCTGTGGCATATCTACAACCATCTTTCATTTTCTACCCAATTTCCTTCTTGTTCTCTATATCAATGTGGAAGAGAAGGGTTTGGCTGTGAATATGAATATGCAGATAAGGTAACAAAAATAAACAATTAGTAAAAGTACTTTATTTTCCCCTTATATTTGCTTTATATCTTGCTTTACAAAGTTAGGAAGTTCGCAGCTTTATACCAAAATGTAAGAAGGCTAAGCTATTTGCTTATAAACATTTTTGCAGTCAAGTGTCATCTGATTTCATTCTTCTAACCCATGTTCAATTAAAAAAAAAAAAATCAGACACCAAGGGTGCTGGCACAGCTCTAGGGCATATATTTCTCTTGAGTAGGAGGAAGATCTTCAACAGCCTTTCCTCCTTGACTCCCTCCTCCCCCAATTCAGTTGGGCTACTACCTTGAATTTAGAGGAAATCTGGGAAACGTTAGTCACCATGTGACCCAGCAAGGCCACATACTTGGGGGTTGGAGGTGAGGTTAGAGGTTATTGTCTGGTAAGCAGTAGGTTTGGTTTAATCAGGATTTCACATCCACTTGTATATGGAACTCAGTATAACCCAAATCATCTCTACCACAACTTCTAATTCTAACCATTAGACAGCTTCTCTGAAATCCTGAGGAATCTGATGATTTGGGGCAGGGATAAAATCACTGTTTTAACAATGTGACAGGCATGGCCTTCTTAACAGTTTTAGGAGTTCTCCTTTAGGTAACAGGAACAAAATTTATAAGACAGCGTATATAAATTGCAAACCAGAGGGTACATGCTGTTTAAATCCCACTTCACAATATACTTTCATTTCCCCTCCAATGAATTCTCTTCCATAAAATATACCATACCATTCCGCTAAGTTTTGTACACCTACTCCCACCAAATCATCCACATACCTAGTCACTAAAGTTGTGCACTGTATAATCTACCAAAAAGAAAAAAAAACAAAAAACCCTTTGTTAGGCAAATAACCACTTAAATGGCAGTGATGTTGCCTATAAATTATAGATAGGTCAGGAGCTCAACACTCAACTGCTAACTCTTCTGAGGCAGAAAAAAAATTCTCCACAAAAGCAGAAGTGTAATAGCAATGACGTTCTCTCAAATTCAAGTAACATCAGATCAAGATAAGTTTGTACTGTGTTTAACTGCTTTATACTGAGTAGAGCCGTATACCAAAATTTTGAACCTGATTAAAAACTTCAGGATAAAACTTGAAGTGACTGATATGTCATCAGAATAAACTGCCATTAAAACCCGAGCATATGCGCACAAAAGGATTTATGCTATGGTTCTCTTGTCTTCTAGCTGTCAGAGGTGAACACGAGTGATTAAAAACAACATTCTAAAAATGGCCTCCAATTCCTTATAAGAAATGAGTTGTGTTTTGTCAGGTCATGTAATAATTGCCTTCCTCAACTAAGTACTAAATATCAGAGCCAACACAAATCCCTGAGCCACTGCTCTACTCTGAGGGGGAACAGAAGGCCAGAATCAGCCAAGACATTGTAGAAGACTTAAAACAAGACTTTTGCATAACTTTCAAGACACTTAAAAGTCATAACATACAACCATAAGCAGTCAAGATGCTTATGGTGCCTTTATTTCTAAACAGGTGGCTACAACAGTGCATTGAGGGCAATATACTAACCTGGTGTTAAACGAATTTTATGCATTCTTGAAACAAAAACATTATTGCCACGGCTTCAAAGAAAATTCTTGTGAAATGAGAAAAAGTATTACAAGTATAGGTGCCCACGCGCATACACATGTACAAAGAACATCCACAACTGCACACATAAAGGCAGACAGACTGTGCACGATTCTGTGAAAGTTAAAATCAAATCAGTTTTTACTGATTCTATCAGTCTGTTCATACCTACAGTTCCCCACGACTGCCCAACACCTCATATACCCGCTTCTAGCTGTACAGAGGCTCCACCACTCTCATCTTTTCAGACATGTCCTCAGGCAGAACAGAAGGGCACCTACGCAACAGAGTATGCAAGACTTCCTCAGCACACTGCCCAGCCAACGCGGAAATGTGGGTTCACTACAGCCCAAAGGAAAATGCTAGGTTTAGCAATAAATCCAAACGTACTTTCCTGGGAATCACCATTCCCAAACCCACAGAACAGCTTAGCTTCTCTGGTCACCTGTACAGGAAATGGGGTGAGAGATGGGAATGCTTGCTCTCAGACAGAAACAGCACACATAAACTTTATGCAACAGGATCTTCTCTGTTCTCTCTCAAGTATCATGCAAATCTCAATAGTGTGGTCAACACAAGAGTTCTGCCATTCATAAGGACAGAAGTAAACAGCTTGTGGAGCCATTCATTATCTAGATGTAGCTCCTAGATTAGTTCTTAATGTTTTTTTTTGGATCCAGTGAGAACCACTGGAGGCTTCCCTGGAAATAAACACCTACTTAGTCTTACACACAATTCCAGGGGGTTTGGATACCCTCTTGAAACCTATCCATGAACCCCTGGGGAAGTCCCCCTGCCCCAGAGCCTGAGTGAAGACATGTGAGTAGAAGTGTGTGCACTAAGATGGGTGGAGATAAACCTGGATGCTCTGCAGTCCTAGGAAAGAATAGGCATCACATCTGAAGCTTGGTATGTGGTGCTGGGCTCTTCTCCCTTTTCCTCTCTCTCTCTGTAGAAACTTTCGGAGTTTTGAGAATCTAGAAACAAAAGGCTGGAAAGCAACACCTCCACGGCTTCTCTTAAGAGTCCAGAGAAAATCCAAAAACAAAGCAGTCTCATGAAGGCTTTGTTCATTTGGCTGCTCTCAATGGACAGGTAGGGTCTTTCCCTTCATCCTACTCCACCCTTCCCAGCTAGTGGGGAGATGAAGGCAAGACACTGGTCTTTAAGAAGCCTGCCTGAGGCCTTGAAAACTATATTCAGATGCTTTATCCTGACTCCCCCATTTGGGTACTGCGGGTGGGTGGAAAGTACCCTGTGAACCCAGAGGAAGTATATGATGGCTACTGTCAGTCTAGGCACAGCCAGAGAATAGAAGAGTGGGGTTTGGCAATGAAGTAAATGAAAAGGTTTCAAACCCACAGCCCGCCTGGAGAGTCAGAAGCTGGAAAGAGAGATAAAGGTTATACCTCCAGTTCGAACAGCCTGCCAATACCTGCAGTGAGTGCCCAGGTCTAACAGTGAGATTTCCAAGCAGACATTAGGTCTATGCACTGCCTTGAACTGAGCACTCTATCAAAATCTGCAGAAGTTCAATAGGAAGTACTGTCTGTAAGGACTTGTCATTATGTGATTTGCTGCCTGAGTTCCTAAAATATAATCAGCAGAGCAGTTACTTTAACTGTTAAAAACCTATTGTGTGTCCCTTTAGCATTTAAAGCCAGCTCTGTCTATCTACAAAGAGCATACTGAAACACACTGTACATAATTGTTAAGAAAGGGAACTATTTGCTTCCAATTTAAATATCCAGCTGTTACAATTAACTGATTGTAATAATTAAGGAGAAGTTAAAACTGATCCTAAAAATCTAGCACTGGACAAATTTGTACTTAAAAGCCTGCCTATAGGTTTAAACCATCATAAGAACAGAAACTAAAAATCACCGACTGAAATCAATAAAATATACATATGATTAGGGTCAAACCAGGGAGCCAATTAAGATCTGTATTTTAATAATCATCTGGAGAACACCAGTAGCATAAATTACTATAAGCCATGCTGTCCCAGAAGAGTGTGGTTCCTTAAAAATCTGTTTAAATCTGACAGACCTCCAGCAAGAACTTAGAAGTGTAACCTATCACCCCATAGAGCTGCCCAGACTTATGCTAGTGGTAAGCCTGGCTAGTAACCACTCTCTCCTTCCCTGATCCACAAGGGAAGGGAAGACACTGGCCTGTGTAAGGGGCTGATGTGAAATTAGTTCAACTAAAGACTTCCCAACATGGGAGGCAAAAAACTTCATGAATCAATTTTGCTGTCATCCTCAGCATGTCGTTCAATGTGTCCTGCAGCATCCTAGGAATAAAGGGAAAAGGGCCCATGAGAGAAAGGATGGTAGTAGGACAAGAGAAAGTCAAAGCCAGGGAGCTTCACAGGTACATTCTAAGATCCATACATGAAAGGCAGTTAGGACCCAGTACTCTAATTTACATGGAACTGCGCACTTAAAGATGAGTTCTTAACAAGAGCGCTGTAATAAACCTCTAGGTTCAGTTACTGGACTGGAAACATGTGAAAACATTCTCTTTAGGCTCTTTCTCAAAAACTACCTATTCTTCATTTGAAACCTCATTAAGCTATACACCAAATCCCTGGATAGTAATAAAAAGAAAAATCCCTACACTCTCCCTGTTTATTGCAATTGTGAACATTCTAATAAGGCAAAAAAGGTTTACTGAACCCTGCTATGAGCAGTCAAATGACCCCAGGTTGACCTCAAATCCCACTGATGTACCTGTTTGGATCCTTTCCTAGCAGTAAAAAAAGCATCACAGTTCTTCCAGCGACATTTCAGAGTTTGAAAGTTCGGATTTGTATGGTCAGTCAGCAAATGTTGTTTTAAATGCTCTATAACG